GTTTAGGATTGGTATTAAGGTGTTGTGTGATAGAGTGTATAGGTGTAAAGGGGTATTTTTGATAGTTAAATAGGGTGTAGTTAGTTAATTTAATATTTTAATTAAAATATTAGGGTATACTTAGATCATAGGGTGTACTCAGTTAATTTTAGGGTTCGTTTAGCAGCACTCTAAACACAAACTTCTAAAACTCCTCTCTCTCTCATTCTTTTTCTTTTCTTTTCTTTTTTGTTTTTGTTTTTTGAGTTTTTCTATTTAAACCCCGCATTTCTCTTTATTCACCCCATATTCTAAGTTCACCTTAACTTCTAATTCAAATTTTCACAATTCCTAAGAAAACCCCACTATCTTCCCAAACTACCTATAAATACACACTTAACAGAAAAATAAAAAATAAAAAACTCATCAACCTCACACCCCACACTCCGCTATCTTGCCCCTCACCACTCTAAGTTCATCTCAACCTTATATTACTTAAAGAGATAAAAAGACAATGAGAGTGTAGTTGGTTTCTTGGATTGAAAGAGAATAGTAATCTGACAATATGGTGTGTAGAGGAGTTTATGTTTTTCTAAAACTTAATATGAAGAGTGGTGGGGTGTATGGGGTGTGTGTATAGATGTACTAGGGTTAAGTATTAAGTTGGATGACTTTTTTTTGTCTTTTTACACAATAATAAAACTTAAGAGCTTAATTATTGAAGTATTGGGGTGAACAAAGAAAAGTATGGAGTTTAAATAGAAATTTATTTATTATTATTTTTTTTTCCGATTATCTCTCTTCTTTAATTTGATTTCATGTCTAGTTCCCAACAATCTTATTCACTCTCTTCCTCTACGACTTCATAACCCATCTCCCTGTGCAGCTCTGTTCCTTCCGCAACTCCCTCTTAATATTCTCTTAACTTGAAGCCATGATAGTAGATAAGATGCTTGGAAAATATCTTATTGCACCAATTAAGATAACGATAGTGAGAATCTCCCTTTACATGTTCAATGAAATCCAATAGGGGATATGATTTTGGGCTTCAAGTTCTCGGATTTTCATGTTTATCTAATGTTCAACTGTTATATTTTTGTAATCTAATAGAGCATATATCCCATATTGGTGTTGAAGGGGAAATATTACTATTGTTGTGATTTACAAGCTATCAATAAATCCCCTAATCTCTAGCATATATCCCAG